TGACCACCACCAGAGCCGCTCCGCTGCGGGGCACCACCCCGACCAGCTCCACCCCCTCCGCCACCGCCGCCTCCACCTCCGCCACCACCGCCGCCTCCGCTCCCACCGCTGCCGCCGCCACCGCCTCCGCCTCCGCTGCCGCCACCACCACCACCACCCCCGCCACCACTCCCACCGCCACCCCCACTCCCTTCGCCGCCTCCACTGCCACCTCCACCGCCCCCGCCAGCTCCCCCCTTGCCCTTGCCAGGGCGGCGTCTCCCGCTAGGGGCAGACGCCGCGCCGACCGGCTCAAGACCAAGCAGGTCGGCAGCAGCAGCAGAGGCAACAGAGGGCAGCAGGGGGGAAGGAGAACACCCCTCAAAGATGGGGGTGCGAGGGTCACCCCGAGAGGCTCCTACAGCGACGATGCTCTTCTCCGCCGCCAGGAGGGCCTTCTCGAGGAGGTCAACAGTGAGAGTGGTGGGACAGACTGAGAGGAAGTGGTCCCTGACTACGCGAAGGGAGTCAGGGAGGCGTGTGACTATGTAATAGAGAGTGATGTACATGGGGGGGGGTTCTTGGCGCAGAACTCAGCAGGAAGCGCGGCGCGGTAGCGAGTGTCACTAGTGCGGAGGTGCGTAATGAGGTCAGCGACTGTGGGAAAGGCAGCAAGGTCAGGAAAGAGGTACGGTAGCATGAGGCGGCTCAGTGCAGCAGTGGCAGGGGAAGAGTAGCGCGCAACTACAGCGTTGTACAAGGTCTGAGCACTCTTGTACTGACTAAAGTGCGCGCGCTCAGTGGTAGGCAGGTGGCGACGCACAGCAAGACGTGCAGCAGCATCGCGGGTGGCCCACTGAGAGCGAACAGTGGGGTCAGCATCAGCAGTAGGGGCAGGAGAGGTGCCAGAGGTGAGGTCAAAGAGAGAAAGACCGTCCGCCCTATCGCACTGTAAGAACAGCTGCAGGTCGTCGACCCAGACCTCAAAGTCAATGGCTCGACCCTCAGCGTCAAAAGCGAGGACACTAGGGGTAGCCACGACGACGATAGACTACCAGTGCAAGCAGTAGGGGAAGGGCACGCAGTGATAGTGGGGCTGTGCTCACCGAACAGGGCAGGTCGGGCGGCTCGGCTGTAGGGCGGCTCGGCGGCTCGGCTGCGGGGCGGCTCGGCTGCTGGACGGCTCGGCGGCTGGGCGGCTCGGCGGCTCGGCGGCTCGGCGGCTCGGCTGCTGGGCGGCTCGGCTGCACAGCGGCTCGGCTGCTGGGCGGCTCGGCTGCACGGCGGCTCGGCTGGTGGGCGGCCAGGCGGCTCGGCGGCTGGGCGGCTCGGCTCCTCCGGTACTGGGCGGCGCGGCGGTCGGCTGCTCGGGTGCACGCTGCAGGGTGGTGCGGCGGTCGGCGGCTCGGGTGGCGCGGCAGGAGGGGAGAGCGGCAGGGCCGTAGCAGACGGGCGGCGGGGCCCCAGGTGTAGGGCGGCGGGGCCGCAGCAGAAGGGCTGCGGGGCCGGTAGAGTCGGGCGGCGGGGCCCGTGAAGTAGGGCGGCGGGGCCAGAGGTGCCGGGCGGTGGGGCCGCAGTAGACGGGCTGCGGGGCCGCAACAGCAGGGCGGCGGGGCCATGACAGTAGGGCGGCGGGGCCGCAGGTGTAGGGCGTCGGGGCCGCGAAGTGGGGCGGCGGGGCCGCGACAGTAGGGCGGCGAGGCCGCTAAAGAAGGGCGGCGGGGCCGCTAAAGCAGGGCGGCGGGGCCGCTAAAGCAGGGCGGCGGGGCCGCGAAATGTAGGGCGGCGGGGCCGCTAAAGCAGGGCGGCGGGGCCGCGAAGTGTAGGGCGGCGGGGCCGCTAAAGCAGGGTGGCGGGGCCGCTAAAGCAGGGCGGCGGGGCCGCGAATCGGGGGCGGCGGGGCCGCGACAGTAGGGCGGGGCGGCGGGGCCGCGAAAGCAGGGCGGCGAGGCCGGTAGTGTAGGGCGGCGGGGCCGCGACAGTAGGGCGGCGGGGCTGCAAATGAAGGGCGGCGGGGCCGCGACAGTAGGGCGGCAGGGCCGCTAGGGGAGGGAAGGCCGCTAGGGCGGCTCGTCGAGTTAATAGCACGAGGCGCGACTCGGGATGAGCGCGCTTCGGGCAGTAAAAAAAAAATATTTTCGAAGTGGTGGGCCCTAGGCGCAGTTCCCACAGGGGAACCGACTCGATACCATGAGAAGAGTTGAACGAGAATGATTGACTAAGGAATGAAAGTGATACAAATATGCAACCCTAGAAATGTGTACCCCATATGGGCTACCCCACTATAGCCTACACAATATGCAAAAGCTATATGTTCTGACAGAAGGCTCCCAGATGGGCAAAAGAAAACTCCCCGCCTCTGTCCGAGTGCAGACGCAGAACAGGAAAGTCCGAGCGGAAACTCTCCCTGAGCTAGAGACGAGCTGCGCGGATCCAGTCGATCAACACCTCAGTGACGTCACCCTTGCTGCGCAAGGGGAAGACTATGGTGTAACGCGAGTAGTCATTAACCACCAGTAGGAAGTACCGCTCACGCCCATGCCCTTTGACGCGGGCTGGGCCCCACACGTCCATGTGGAGAGTCTGCAGCAGAGCGTCTATCGGAGGAAACTCGGAGGAGTGAGGGGCGGCGCGCTGTCGCCCCTCGACGCAGGGAACGCAAGTAGGGCCAGGCCCTGGAGGTAGGGGAGGGAGAGACCGAGGGAGACCAGAGACAAGGACACGGGAGGCCATGCCTTGGAGACGAGGCAAGGAGGGGTGACCAAGGCGGTGGTGCCAAAGGAGAGTCTGGTGGGACAGTAGACGACACGAGCAAGGAGCAGACTCAGGACCAGACCTGGACGCTGCAGCAAACACCTGACTCGACGCAGCTACCTAGGCAGACTCAGCAGCCGGAGGAGACTCAGTAGTAAGGGTGTACAGGCTCGACCCTGGCCGACGGGTGAACGTGGCCAAGTGTCGACCTGTCCGAGCACTCGTGCAGTGGGTCACCCGCTGACTCGCAGGAGTGAACTGGTCAACCCCCCGATCCTGTAGGTCCGCTCCACTCACCAAGTTCGTAGAGAACGAGGGGAGGTAGAGACCTGACAGGGTGCTAGAGGGGGCTGCCAGGCACAGTAAGACAGTGGAGAAGCTAGCAAGGACAGGACCCCCAGAGGGGTCCGCCAGGGAGACTGCAACCGGTCGACTGAGCGCTGTAAGAGTGGTGCGGTCTCGAAAGAAGGAGCGGGACGCACCCGAGTCAAGGGTGAAGGTGTGTAAGGCGTGAGCCGACGTAGTATCTGAGAGAGCAGACTCACCAGCACCTGGGGCAGTAGATGCACTAGCACCTGGGGCAGCAGACCCACTAGCACCTAGAGCAGCAGCCTCAATGCCCGAGTCAGGCGGTACACACAGGTAACAGTCACCCGCAACACTATCATCAACAGCATACATGGCAGCAAGAATAGCATCAAAACCAAGATCAAAGATAGCAACCCCCGCCCTAGACAGCTCTCCCCAGCGAGGGATCTCAGAGGCCCAAGGGAATTGGTGACGCCAGACGTCCGTCAGGCGGCCAAAGCAGCGCTGGGTGGAGTGCGGGCCCTCGCACTACTCACCAGCGCGGTCGCCGGTGCGGAGAACGTAGGTGCAGGGACCCGTACCCCCACCGCGCTGACGCGCAGCGTACCACTCACGAAGCTGCTGAGGGGACAGGGTCTCCCGACCGCTCTGCTGCTGCTGGCGCGTACCACCACCGGAGCCACTCCTCTGCGCAGAGCCGCTACCAGGTCCACTGCTGCCGCCGCCGCCTCCTCCGCCTCCTCCACCTCCGCCTCCTCCGCCACTTCCGCCGCCTTTGCTCCCTCCGCCACCACCGCCGCCTCCTCCGCCTCCACTACTGCTGCCGCCGCCGCCACCCCCGCCACCACTCCCACCACCACCCCCACCCCCTCCACTGCCTCCACCACCACCTCCACCGCCCCCGCTAGCCCCTCCAGCGCCCTTGCCCTTTTTGCCCTTGCCGGTGCGGCGTCTCCCGCTAGGGGCAGAGGCAGCGCCGACCGACTCAAAACCAACGAGGTCGGCCGCAGCAGCAGAAGCAACAGAGGGGCAAGAGGGGGGAGGGGGTACACCCCTCAAAGACGGGGGTGCGAGGGTCACCACGAGAGGCTCCTACAGCGACTATGCTCTTCTCAGCTGCTAGGAGGCCCTTCTCGAGGAGGTCAACGGTGAGAGTGGTGGGGCAAACTGAGAGGAAGTGGTCCCTGACTACGCGAAGAGAGTCAGGGAGCCGGGTGATTATGTAGTAGAGGGTGATGTACATTGGGGGGGGGGGTTCTTGGCGCAGAACTCAGCAGGAAGCGCAACGCGGTAGCGAGTGTCACTAGTGCGGAGGTGCGTAATGAGGTCAGCGACAGGGGGAAAGGGAGCAAGGTCAGGAAAGAGGTACGGTAGCATGAGGCGGCTCAGTGCAGTAGTGGCAGGGGAAGAGTAGCGTGCAACTACAACGTCGTACAAGGTCTGAGCACTCTTGTACTGGCTAAAGTGTGCACGCTCAGTGGTCGGTAAGTGGCGACGCACAGCAAGGCGAGCAGCAGCATCGCGTGTGGCCCATTGTGAGCGAACAGTGCTGTCAGCAGTAGCAGGCGGGGCAGGAGAGACACCAGAGGTGAGATCGAACAGAGAGAGTCTGTGTGCCCTATCGCACGGGAGAAACAGCTGGAGGTCATCGACCTAGACCTCAAATTCAACGGCACGGCCCTCAGCACCAAAATTAAGGACACTGGGGGTAGCCATGACTGCAGCGGCCTAGTAGGAAGTGAGCTCACCAGTCCGAGGAAGGAGGGCCGGGGAGCACCGGTAGGAACAGCAGCGGCTCGACAGCCAGGCGGCTCGGCGGCAGGGCGGCTCGGCTGCTCTGCGGCTCGGCTGCTGGGCGGCTTGGCTGTTGGGCGGCTTGGCTGCTCGGCAGGTGGGCGGCTTGGCTGCTGGGCTGCTCGGCGGCTCGGTCGCTGGGCGGCTGAGCGGTGACAGGGCCGCTAGGGGAGGGCGACGGGGCCGCAGGTGACGGCGACGGGGCCGTAGGTGGCGGCGACGAGGCCGCAGGTGGCGGCGACGGGGCCGCAGGTGGCGGCGGGGCCGCAGGTGGCGGTTGCGTGGCCGCAGGTGGCGGCGACGGGGCCGCTGGTGGCGGCGACGGGGCCGCTGGTGGCGGCGAGGCCGCAGGTGGTGGCGGCGTGGCCGCAGGTGGCGGCGACGGAGCCGCAGGCGGTGGCGACGGGGCCGCAGGTGGTGGCGACGGGGCCGCAGGTGGCGGCGACGGGGCCGCAAGGGGCCTAGACGGGGCCGCGGAGGGGCCGTAAGAGGCCGTAAGGGGCCTAGGCAGGGCCGTAGAGGGGTCGCAAGGGGGCCTAGACGGGGCCGAAGAGGGGCCGCAAGAGGCTTAAACGGGGCGGCGATGGGGCCGTAAGGGGCCGGAAAGGGCGCCGCGAGGGGCCGAAAGGGGCCGCGCTAGGGCCGTAAGGGCAACGCGAGGGGCCTTAAGGGGCCGTAAGGGCGGCGCGAGGGGCCGTAGAGGGCGGCGCGAGGGGTCGTAAGGGCGGCACGAGGGGCCGTAAGGGCGGCCAAAGGGGCCGTGAGAGGGGCCACTCAGCGCGGCTTGAAGGTAGGGAGGGCAGACAGAGCGTGACTCGGGCAGGAGTGAAGCGCACTCCGGGCAGGAAAAAAAAAGGTATCGTGGTGGGCCCTAGGTAGCGTTCCCACTAGGGAACCTGCTCGATACCATGACGAGAAACGAGAATGAATGCATTGAGTAGAAAGGGGAGTACAAGTAGGAAACCCTAAAGTGTTGTTCCCCATATGAACTGCCCCACTACAGCCTACACAGACTATAGCATATATGCCTGACACGCACAAGTGAAGATGACACGTGGGTCCCGGTTGACTCACTACAAGGCCACTCGATACTTCGGGATTATCTTTCCCGCCGACACGTGCCTGATATTGACCACCTTTCTTAAGGGGGGGGGGGGTAGTGTAAGGAATTTCGCTAATTCCTTACTGAGGCATCTCTTACGCATTGTATGGAATTTTCTCGATATTGCTTAGCGCACCCTGCAACATCGCGTACAGCAGCACCCGTTGTTCGCCCGTTACTGCTAACGGGGCTTCGCCGACTTCGCGTGCACTGTTTCACCAAACCTCGCACTGCTGGCCTGGCCGTGTCGGCCTACGCTTCGGGACTAGCCCGAGCCTCGCTTCCAGCGTAGCACTAGGTAGCTCGCACGCACCGCGTTACCGTTTGCATGTTTCGCGTATAAATGTTCGCTCACGCCTTCGCTCACATTTTGTACTTGTTTGATTCCTTAGTGCAATTCTCGCTACTTCGATTCATAGCACCCGTAACGCTTGGTATTCAGAGCCTCTTTCCTTTTCGGACCATGCATCTCCGCACCCCAGGAAATCAACTTTTGATTTTTCACTCAAAGGGTCTCACGTACCTTAGCACCTAGGAGCCGCTGTTCTCGCGTTCTCTCGTAAACGCGTATAGCCACGACTGCGCCTAGACTAAGACGAGCTGACGCCCTTCAAAATGGTTGAGCATATCGACGTCACGACTCTCACGTAGGAGCACTTGAACGATCTGCTGCGACAAATCCGCGAGAGCGCCGAGGAAATCGCGACACTGACGGCAGAACGCTCGTCCCTGCAAAACGACCTCGCACGAACACAATCCCAAGCACCTGGCACTCCGATTCAACCCACACCACAGGCATCAGAACACGGAAGTGTGGGGCAACCCGTGAGCGCCGCAAGTGATGGCGTCGGTTGCCATGACGGAGACAACAACCACGGCAGGACACACCCCGACACGACGAATGCGGCCAGGAATCAGCCTCGAGTCACGATTTCAATGCCGGTCGGCGAATCAACTCTTCCGTCGCAGATGCCGCTAAAGCCGCAGCGTCCGCCATGTTTCGACCCAAGTCAGCGGGGTGGTCCTACCGTTCAGGCGTGGCTCTTCATGCTGAACGTTTTCTTCGACGCGAACTACGTCTCGGAGGATACGGCGAAGATTCGTTACGCCGTGCCTTTGCTGCGAGGATCCGCCATGGACTGGTGGCGTGTCATCGTCACGAAGCCGGTGGACTACGCGACTCTACCGACACGGGAAGGACAAACCGGACCTTGGGCGCCGTCGTATTTCGTGGAGGTGCCCCAGTATTGCACGTGGGACGCATGGTGCGCAGGTCTGCGCGCTCGTTTCGAGCCAATTGCGGCCTCGATTGCGGCGCGACAGAGGCTCCGCACTTGGCGCCAACTCAGTTCCGTCCAAGACTACTCGAGCGGGTTTCTTGCGCTATGCGAGCAGGTGGGATATATGCATGAGAGCGAGCGCATCGACCGCTACATCGGCGGCCTGAAGCAGGACATCGCTCAGGAAATCCAGCTTCGCGGCGTCACCGATTTTCAGGAGATTCTCGCCATGGCGGAGAAACTCGATTTCTTACGCCGACCGAGACGCGGGTCCTACGTAAGCAGCAATTGGGGACATCGGCCTCGTGGGACGAACGAGGGTGCTACGATACGTGCCGTCTTTACTCGGGCATGATTGGCTGCGACTAAACAATCCGCGAATCGTCTAGACGACGGGTGACTGCACTGTGCGAGTGAACGGTAACAACATCGCCTTACCTCGCTGGGGCTCGCTTGAGTCATCGTCGGTGCGTGTTAACGCGATCACGATGAAACGCACCGTAGCGGCAGGAGCTGCCGTGTACGCGGTTGACATTCGGGAAGCCAAGGTAGCAGACAAGGAGGGGATTTACAGAAACTGCTAGCCGACGTACCGAGTGATCTGGCAGCACTGTTGAAGCAGTACAGCGACATCTTCCTGGACGACTTACCGACGAGACTGCCACCTCAACGACCGCACGACCACAGGATAGAACTAGACTTGGGGGCACAACCGACAGTACAGCGACAGTTCCGACTGACCCAACCCGAACTGGACGAACTGAGGAAGCAGCTAGATTATCTGCTGTTGAGATACTAAGCATAGGTGGGCTTAGGAGCCATAGTTTAGTTAGGTTCTTAGGGATCGAGTTTAGGGTTGAGGAGAGTGTCGAGAAAGTTGGAAAGGAGAAAGAGTGGCTTCACTATAGGTTTGCAAGAACATATAGCAAAGGAAACAAAGAAGGTGCACCACCAAACAAAGTTTATAATAACTACACTAACTACAGCTACAGGCAGTTACAGATATATTCTTACACTCCCCCATAACTGCCTGCAGCAGAAGCTAATGCAGAGACACCCCCTGAAGGGGTACACCAAGCGCAGCAGAAGGAGAGGGCAAGTGAGGAGGAGGGACTATATGAGGAGAGGCTGCTGGCAGGTGAAGCTGCTGGCTCCAAGGTGGCTGCTTCCTGGAACCTTCCTCAGTCCTCCAACTCCCCCTTCCACACTCCTTGACAACCCTAGCACCTCTCCCCCACACCCTCACACCCACCCCCCCCCCCAGCGGCAGCTGCAGCAGTGGGAGAGAAAGGAGGAGGAGGGGAAGGGGATCACACACACCCATCACCCCCATACCCACCACTATAATAGCTTTCGTTCCACGGCTGCACGCGCAACAAGGAGACGAAGAAGGGGGGCGGGGAGGGGGGGGGGGGGCAAGGGCGACAGAGTAGAACAGAGCGCACGAGGGCGCGGGTAGCAGCAGGGCGCACGAGGGCGCGGGCAGCAGGAGAGCGCACGAGGGCGCAGGCAGACCAGAGCGCACAAGGGCGCGGACAGCAGCAGAGCGGCAACAGGCAGCACAGGCACGGGCAGCAACGGGCGGCAACGGGCAGCACAGGCACGGGCAGCAACGGGCGGCAACGGGCAGCACAGGCACGGGCAGCAACGGGCGGCAACGGGCAGCACAGGCACAGGCAGCAACGGGCGGCAACGGGCAGCACAGGCACGAGCAGCAACAGGCAGCAACAGGCAGCACAGGCTCGGGCAGCAACGGGCGGCAACAGGCAGCACAGGCACGGGCAGCACAGGCACGGGCAGCAACGGGCAGCACAGGCACATGCAGCAACGGGCGGCAACAGGCAGCACAGGCACGGGCAGCAATGGGCGGCAACAGGCAGCACAGGCACGGGCAGCAACGGGCGGCAACGGGCAGCACAGACACGGGCAGCAACAGGCAGCAACAGGCAGCACAGGCAGGCAGTCGTACCGAGTCCAGGTACGGCGGCGCATACAGCTGTAGGGTCGGCGCCGTGGGCTGCTGCTGGGGCAGCTCGTGGGGTCCAGGGGCGGCTGCTGAGGTCCAGGAGCGGCTGCTGAGGTCCAGGGGCGGCTGCTCCAGGGGCGGCGCTGGTGCAAGGTAGGCCCGCGCGCGGCTGCAACGCTAGCGCGGGCGCAGGTGAGGCAGAGGCGGTGGCCAGGGGGGGAGGGCGCCGCGACGAGTAGGAATGGCGCCCAAGGGGTGCCGCTACGAGTAGGGGCGATGCCCCAGGGGCGCCGCGACGAGCAGGAGTGGCGTCCAGGGGGCGCCGCGACGAGCAGTGGCGACGCCCCGCGGGTCCCGCAGTGGCGTCACGACGAGCAAGGCGACGCCATGCGGGTCCTGCAGGGGCGTCGCGACGAGCAGGAGCGGCGACACCCGGGTCCCGCAGGTGCGTCGCGAAGTGGAGGGTACGGGCGGGCAAGACAGGCCCGCGCGTGGACGTGAGGCAGGCGCGCAGGCGGCGTGAGGGCAGACCACACGCGGGGCAGGAAGACGCCGCGCTGCCCGCCGTGCGCCCTGAGCACACGGCGGGCAGAAAATCGCCGTGCGCCAAGGAGGAACGGGGCCGCGCGCCTCGGGGCGCGCGCCAGAGAGAAAATCGCCGCGCGCCGTTGGCGCACGCCACCGGGCGTGCGACAGATCGAGTAGCAGCGGAAGCAGTAGTAGGGCCCACAGGCCAGGAGCATTTGTGCTCTGAAACCATGTTGAGATACTAAGCATAGGTGGGCTTAGGAGCCATAGTTTAGTTAGGTTCTTAGAGATCGAGTTTAGGGTTGAGGAGAGTGTCGAGAAAGTTGGAAAGGAGAAAGAGTGGCTTCACTATAGGTTTGCAAGAACATATAGCAAAGGAAACAAAGAAGGTGCACCACCAAACAAAGTTTATAATAACTACACTAACTACAGCTACAGGCAGTTACAGATATATTCTCACATCTGCTCGAGAAGGAATTCATTCCCCCTAGTTCGTCGCCCTTCGCAGCACCGATATTGTTCACGCCGAAAAAGGACGGGGGATTTCGCATGTGCATAGATTGCAGAGCACTGAACAGGGTTACCATCAAATCCCGTTACCCCATCCCGCGAGCCGACGAACTGATCGACCAACTGCGCACAGCCCGGGTTCTCTCGAAAATTGACCTTCAAGGGGGTTACCACCAGATTCGCGTTAACCCAACTGACTGCCCTAAGACAACCTTCCAAACACGCTACGGATCCTTCGAATACACTGTCATGCCCTTCAAATGACCATGAACGAAGCCTTCCGCCCGCTCTTAGATAAGTGCGTCATCGTATACCTGGACGACATCCTGATTTACAGCCCTGACAGAGCACAGCACTTACATGACATCAAAGCAGTTTTTAAGATACTTAGTGAGAACCGCCTACTGACAAAAGCATCCAAGTGTGAGTTTTTACAGGACCGACTGGAGTTTTTGGGACACATTATTTCAGCTGCAGGAGTGGAAATAGACCCGAAAAAGCTTGCGACGAGTCAAGCGTGGCACGCACCGACCAACTTGACCGAGTTGCAGGGTTTTCTGGGGTTCGTCTGTTGGAATAACTGAACAGGAATGAATGAACTAACAGTAAAATGAGTACAAGTACCTAACCCTAGAATTGTGTACCCCCTATAGGCTAACCCACTGTAGCCTAAACAAGCACAACATATATAATGTTTGACACACCCCCATAGGCGAAGTGGGGGAGAACTAGGGGTCACAAGACCAGTCAAGGCAAAGCAAGGCAAAACAAGCTCAGGGTGGATCTCAAGGATACCACACAAATTCCGAGCACAAGCAAGTGGTCACAAGACCAGTTCACATGCAGGTTTATAATAGAGCAAAAGGTACAATGATCACAACCTAGCAACTGTAAACATGCAGGTATATATATAGAGAGAGATCACAGTACAAACAGACTCAAGAAGTAAGCAAGTGAGGTCCAGTAGGCACAAGGCCTAGAAGAGTGCAAAAGCGCTGATGGTCACAAGGCTGAAGCGCCTTGGTGAACACATCAGCAGTGTTGGCCTCAGAGGCCACGTAACGCAGGCGAAGCTGACCACGCTGCTGCAGCTCTCGAGCAAGGAAGTAACGCAGAGCAATGTGCTTCGTTCTGTGCTCCAGTCTGTGCTCCTCACATAAGGCAATGGCTGCCTTGTTGTCGACGTACAGCATTGGAGGAGAACGAGGCTGCTCTCCAAGGTCGGTCAGCAAGTAGGTGAGCCAGCGTAGCTCCTGGGCCGCCATGGTTGTGGCGTAGATCTCAGCCTCACAACTGGAGCTGAGAACAGAAGAAGAGCGAGTAGAACGCCAAGAGACTGAACCAGAGCCAAGACTGAAGGAGTAACCCTGAGACGACCGCTGAGTAGCCTGGTCGTCTGCCCAAGAAGCGTCTGAGTGCCTAGTGAGAACAACTGGGACTCGACCTCCAAGCACTAGCCCCATGCCCGACGTACTGCACAAGTAGCGCAACACCCTCTTAGCTGCATCCATGTGCTCCTTCCAGTGACGGCCGGGAGCGACATAGCGTGCAAGAATGCTGAGGGGGTAAGCAAGGTCTGGTCGAGTGCAGGTCATCAGGTACATGAGGCAACCCACAAGCTCTGGATACGGGCCACTCGGCTCTACGGACTCATCCGAAGGCAGAGCTGAGAGCGAGTGACCGGTAGGCAGAGGAGTGGGCTGAGGCGAGGAGTACGTGAAGCGGAAGCGCTGAAGGACCTGCTGCACCATGTGTGACTGAGTCAAGCTGATGGTGCGGCGTGCTCTGTCCTGGGTGATCCGCAAGCCAAGATAGCTTGTCAGTTCCCCCAGGTCTGTGCACGTGTGTCTCTTCTGCAGCTCCGACTTCACGTGGGCGAGTGCCACAGTGTCAGCAATAGCAAAGACCAAGTCGTCGACGTACACAAGGATGTAGAACGGCGGCAGTGAGGTGTCGGTGCGTAGAAACAGCGACGGGTCAGCAGTAGAAGGCGCGAACCCAAGAGCCGCAAGCGTAGTCCTCAGTGTGTCGTGCCACTCACGAGGCGTCTGGCGGAGACCGTAGATTGGCCGTCGGAGGCTCCACTGGGTACCAGGAGGGAACGACCCAGTGAAGCCAGGTGGACGGCGCAGCCAGATCTCCTCGTGCATGCTGCCCTGCAGGAAAGCAGTGCTGAGTTCAAGCGAGTGGAGCTCGTAGTCACGCTGAGCGGCGACGTGCAGCAGAACCCGAAGAGTGGTCATCTTCGGGGTCGGGGAGAAGGTCTGGAAGAAGTCAACTCCCTCTCGGTGACTGAAGCCTTGTGCAACGTAACGCGCCTTGAAGACAGGCGGAGAGCCCGGCGACCGCTTCACCGTGAAAATCCACATGCCACTGACGATGTTCGCCCCAGGCGGGGGAACCTCGTCGACGTAGGTGCCTGTGGACTTCCAGGAAGCCATCTCTGTGTCCATGGCCGACTGCCACTGAGAGGAGTAGGGACTGGCCATCGCCTCTGCGTAAGAGCGTGGGGTCGGGATGCCTGGTGCATCCGGGTCTCCCTCAGGGGCAACAAGCATGGACACGAGATGGGGCAAAGCGGCAGCAAAGCACTCAAACTCCTCCTGCCTGTCCTCAAGGACGTCAGTGCCAAGAGCACACTCACCCCCGACGGACGGAGGACAGACAGACTCAGACTCAGCAACTAGGCTAGCAGCGTAGTCTAGACGAAAGGTGGCAGCAAAGTCGACAAGCTCAGCAACTAAGGCGGACGCAGCAGCAGACTCAAAGGAAGGGTCAGTGACAACAGTAGCTAGGAGACGCGTGACAGTAGGACTGGCAGCACGAAGAGAGTCTAACGCAGGGTCAGCAAGAGTAGGAAGAGAGGAAGCAGGAGAAGACGGCAGTGGGACACGCTGAGGAGCAGTGGACGGACGAAGCGCCATCCGCTGAGTGTCTGGGACAGCAGGAAGACGCTGACGCTGGACACGACTACTAGAGAGAGCAGTGCGGACAGGCGACGCAGGACGAGACTCAGGCGACGCAGGACGAGACTCAGGCTCACGACGCTCAGTAAGACCTCCAGTCGGACCAGTGTAAGGAGAAGGACCAGGGAGAGAGGAGGCAGACGGCAACTGCGACTGCAACTGGACAGACGGAGGACACGCTAAGTAGGGAGGAGGACAAGGAGGAAGGAGCTGACCAAGAACCTGCTGAAGGAGCGGAACGAAGTACGGCCGGGACCGTGCAGCGACACCAGAGCCAGCAGGGACACCTGCACCAGGGTCCGCAGCACCAGCAGCAGCGCCAACACCCGGGTCTGCAGCACCAGCTGTGGCTCCAGCTCCCGGGGCCTCAGCACCAGCAGCAGCGCCAACGCCCGGGTCCGCAGCACTAGCGGCAGCTCCAACGCCGGGGTCCTCAGCACCAGCAGCAGCTCCAACGCCCGGGTCCACAGCACCAGCGGCAGCTCCAACGCCCGGGTCCTCAGCACCAGCAGCAGCTCCAACGCCCGGGTCCTCAGCACCAGCAGCAGCTCCAACGCCCGGGTCCGCAGCACCAGCGGCAGCTCCAGCGCCCGGGTCCTCAGCACCAGCAGCAGCTCCAACACCCGGGTCCGCAGCACCAGTAGCAGCTCCAACGCCAGCGGGATCCACAACACGAGGCACGCCACTCCGAAGAGTGCAGCGCCGCTCGTACCATTCACGGATCCGCTCGCGGGAGGGGAGCTCCCTAACGGGAGAAGAAGCACTAGCACAAGTCCCAGCAGTATGTCCGGCTCGAGCGGCACCTCTCCGGAGGCTGCAGTACTGTAAGTACCACTCACGCAGCTGCTCCGAGGAGAGGGCTCCTCCAGGTGTAGGACTCCCAGTCCCAGTACCTCCAGACCCAAAACCCCCAGACTCCGGACTCTCCGGCTCAGCACCCCGAGGCTCCACACCCCCAGGCTCAGCACCCTCAGGCTCCACACCCCCAGGCTCCACACCCCCAGGCTCAGCACCCCCAGGCT